AAATATAGCTGAGGGGAGTCTATTTTCTTTGATAAGGCCATTTAGAAATATATGTTGGAAGAATTACCTTATATTTATGGAAACAGCATACTCTGATTTCATGGCTAGCTGGGGTTAATCAACGATGTGCAAGGTGAGTGTAGTACACAGGAAAAAAATAGAATAGAGATGCTGCCTAACTATGCTGCCTAAATATATCTTTTCTCTTTTAGCTTTCCTCTCCCACCTCTCTTTTTTTAAGAGAAATGTTTTTTTTTTTTTAATTATGTCCTTAAAACTTCTGAAAATCATCAGTTTCACATTGAAAAATACGTGATTCCCATAATCTGCAAAAGGGTCTTTCTCATGCTATCACTCACAGACTTATAAAACATTTTAGGTGTCAACGTAAATTCTCCTTAGAGGTGGAAAATAATTCTCACTGATCCTTCTCCCGTGACCTCCCCTCCTCTCAGCCATCACCAACACGACTGTGCCTGGTCCTGAGTCCAATAAAAGGATTTCATTTCATATATTTCTAGGGCTTACCTGTGTACCATTTGTGTGAGGACTCTTAGATTTTAAAATGGTACCTCTTGCTTTTTGGTAACTTGGTGGAAGCAAAGAAAGATAAAACTTTCATTGAAAGGGTTTGGTTGTTGACTTTTGTGGCTGATGAAATGCCATAGTAACTGGGAAAAGGTGGCATTTTACTTTTCACTTCTCATATATGGAAGTATATTCGGACAGGCAGAGTAATTTACTGGTTCAGTGAGGGGCTAAGAGTGACTGAACAAATCTCTGGACCTCCTAATTATGTAATTACTTCCTTAGACATTTATGTCTCTGCAGATGCGCTTGTCGGTTTTTTTTTTTTTTAACATTAGGGATGTCTTTCATAAAATTTTGTGTGACTTTTCTGGGCCAGAAGCAATGCAGGAATAGCCAGCTTGCGGGTGATGCCGTTGAACACCTAATGTCCTTAACCTGTCACACGCCAGCCCCCTGCCCCAACCCCAAGTCAGACAGCTGAGTATGGAACAGTATGGCGGGCTGATTCCAATGCGTACACCCAGGCTTTATGGATCACAGCTTCGTTTCCTTTAATAGGAGCGATGTTATTCCTCTTCATCAAGTGGTACCCATTTAGCGCCTTCATGACCTTGACAGATTGGCAAATCACCTGAGGATATGCGAACGAGATGAGGTTAGAGGGCAGTGATCCACTGTGTTCTGTACAGCCTTGCTCTTACACGGAGCACAGAGGTTTCAAGGAATTGGTCAGTGGTGAGTTCTCATCCGAGTGAATATGAAACCAGTTTCTGAAACAAGGCTTTGCTGCTTTCTAAGAGGATGAGTGAAGGGGAGTCTTTGCAGGTTCAGCA